CTCCCCCCTTCCGGCCGCCCCTTGCTCTACAGGTGGCATCCGTTTCTTTTCTCGCTCTCAAGACCTCCTCATCGTCCTCCTATCTACGTTTAAAATTATTTTCCTTGCTTTAATAAAACAGGAGAATTTCACACCGCTCTGCTGAGCTGCTTTTTTCCCCTACGTCTTTACCCGCTGCCTCCCTGCGGCCATTCCCCCGTCAGCCTGCCTTCAGCCGCAGCTGCTGCTCCCTGCCCGCGCGTGCTCCCATGCGGCGGCGCTCATCTTTTCCGGGGCAAGGGGACGTACCTGGAACCGTCAGGGCTGGGGTAGCGTAGCCGTGGCGGGAGGGACTGCACCTTAGGAGGCTCTCGGTAGTGACAGTTGTGATGATGGTCTCATTTTATAGATTTCATCCTGTTCGTTTAGCAATGAAATGAAACTCCTATAGCTGTCAGACTCCTTCGCTCTGACTAATTTCTGAAGAACAGAAGTAAAACGAACCGAAAAAGACCCCTCCACGTGAGTGGAAAGATGTAACGGTTAAAAGTCTTCATAACGTTGAAACTCTGGAAATGTGGAGGACAGCTGGAAAAGGCTTAAACACCACTTTCCTATATATCTGTAATAACGAGTGTCTGGCAAAGGAATACAGAAAGCAGTTTTATTTCTGACAAGACCTATTTAAGAAGCACTTCGTATTTTTAGTAATTTTCAAATAACTCAAGAGGAGGCCAGCTATGAAACTGTATTACTGAATTTACCGCAGTCCAAGTAGAAGGGAAGCATACCAGTAATACGCTTTCAGGCAGAGCACAGAAATGAAGATAAAGTATCTGAAAGGTATGTTATTTGGGGGGACTGAGCCCCAGCAAGGAGATCGGTTTCAAAACTAAGGTAAAATCTTTGACAAAGAACTTAAACGAGGAAAACCTGCATCATGCCAAAGCTTATGGAGCATAGATAGCTCTCGCATAGCGTTAGCTCTGGAATGCTACATGAAATGACACGTGAGACAGGAAAGCACACTGAGTGTAATGGAAGGGTCCACAGAAAGTAGCATGTGGAGCTGTGTGCTTTTTGGCATAGAAGACAAGCCAAGATAATGGTTTGGATTTGGAAAGAGATTGAAGAACTGTGAATTGCTACATCACTTGTAACATTTCTCTCTTGGATCTAAAGACCTTCAAAATATTAACTGTAAGACTCATTTTTAAAGGGTTGAGGTATCTGGGATTTATTTGTATGTGAAAAAGACACTGGATTATGAATTAACTTCGAGACCCAGATGGAAACAAGACAGTGGACCAGTCAGCAAGCAAAAGTGTTGGGAAGCAGCGAGGAAAAACTTAGTGTTTTTGACAGGTAATGACAGTCAGAACTGATTCAGAGCAACGGGACATAAAATTAAATGCAAATAGAGACTGGAACAAAGCTAATCATTAGATGAAGTCATGAAAAAGAAAACACTAAAGGAAAATTACCCTGATCTTACCTGTTTCTATGGGAAAGCCCATGAAATGATTCAGACGCTGAAGTGGTAGCCTGTAGAGTAGAAGGAGAATCAGGAAAGCAGAGTATTGTTTTGTAGATTTTGAAATCGGAAAATCATTTAATGATCTATATTCTATAAATTACAGAATCCGATACAGAAATTACTGGAACAGAAGACACAGTTTATGGCTAAAATGAAGCATGTGTTTTCGAAGGGTATGAATCCTTCATGCTGTGGCTAAAATACAACATTTCTTTGGTTTCTGCAGGGATTATTTCTGCTCATTAAAAAAAAAAGAGAATTGCTCTTTTTTTCTAGCCTCAAAACTATAGTATGCTGTTTAACATTTGGAAGGTTTTGAGACACTCTTAAAATTTCTCCAGTATCGTGACAAAATTGGAGGCACTGTAATGGAATGGGCATGTGCTTGCTGATTTGGTGGTTCATGCCTGACTCGTTTGACTGCATGGTATCTGTCCATCCAGTCACATGATGAAAATACCTCGTCGTAGAATATGAGTTTCTCAGTGAAGATATCTGCAAACACTTAACCTATATTTGAAAATGAATGCACTTTTAGCCTGTATTAAAATTAGGATTGAGAAGCTTAATATCGCAGCTTATTTGAGAGCATTAGTACAACTTAATAACATTAAAAATCAGAAACCAACCATTAGAGATCTAATGGAAACCCAGCGTAAACAGAAACTACTCTTCCTTATATTCCTCTAAAATATTAACTGTATGTGTGGTGGTTCTTCAAAATTATCAGATATTTAAATGTTAGTTCTTTATATTTACCCTGAAATGGGTACTAAAAAGCTCTCATAACATGCTATCATTCATAGAACTACTGTTTTTTGGAGTGCAGCTATGAGAATAGGTTTATTTGGCATGCTCAGATGACATTGTGGTCATGTACCCCAAGTACCTTACTCAAAATATGTGTAAAATGACATTTTGATTTCACATGATAAAACCTGTGCTTCCTAGGAGTTTGCGAAGTGTTACGTTTATACATTCACAATCCCCAAACTATTATGAGAAGTTTTCTAGTATCTGTTGAAATAGGGATCCCAATGGAAACAAGCTACATTTGGCAGAATTGATCTGAAAATGTGAAGTTGTCAGTTCATACATAGCTCTGCAAACTAAAAGGTAACATGATTGCAGATTGGCACAAAACTGTGTGCAACATTTTATGTTACTGTAGGGATTTTGACAAATACATATGCTGAATTGTAGTTTTAGAAGCTAGCAAGCAAGAAATTAGAACTCTGTTGTACGGTATTATACGGAAGAAGATAATCATGTTACAGAACATTACATTATATGTTCTATAAGTCAGTTTCAAAGAATATTTTCAGATGATATTTCATTATAATGACCATATAAAGGGTGGAACCTTTGTTTTCAGTTGTACCGTACAGAAAAATTTCAGATCCATTTTTAGGTATAGAAAACTGGTTTATATTTTTATACATCAAAAAGCTGACATTTGCCATATTGCATCTTGTTTATCACGTCATTGCTGTAAATTGGACACAGGCACAGAAAAATCTGTGTTTAAGTATTTTCATATTTTACTGTAAATTACTGTTTGTACTATAATTCCAATTTTTTGGCATATGTTTCTTTCCTCTGAAGATTTGTTTGCAAATGTATGGACTGACTGGTTAAAAGACATACTAGATGTTATCTTGTGAGCAACCAAAGTAGAAACATTTTGAGAAAACTAACATTTTTAATATTCATAAATAATACATAGTCCAACAACTGCCATTCCATAACTTGAAGTCATGCTTCAGATACCTTAATATAGTTGGTTTTTTTCTTTTAGCTGGCAAGCTGGGGCAACAATTTAAATTTGGTAGGAGTGTTATTACAGACGATATACTAGTGATGTTGTATGAGATCCTACTAGTTCTGTTCATGTTCTTCCATCAGATAACCGAATTCAGGGAAGTTATAGAACATGGGTATTACTGCGTTTAATTTCAGTTAAGTGAGATTTTTAAGGAGAGTGTATGAGATCCTACTAGTTCTGTTCATGTTCTTCCATCAGATAACCGAATTCAGGGAAGTTATAGAAAAGTGAGATTTGTAAGGAGAGTTAATATATTTTATGTCGGGTGCTGAAAAAGTGAAAGCAGGCAAGCGGTGGGTTTATAAGCTTTTCACGAGTTCTGACAAAGAAGCAGAAAACTCCAAATTGCAATAATCAGTCTTTAACCTAGGAAAGTTATGAAGTTTCAAGATAAGTTGTATTTGTGCAATACATGGAAGTAAGGTGAAAGGAAGACTGGGTTGCTAAATATTGTGAACTCTGATCTGCAGAATATTTGCTTATGCTGTTGATCTTGGTGAGCTATTTGAAAGTTAGATGGGAAAAGTAAGGATAAATTTCTTCAAGGGTATAGGTTTAATGATTTTCAATATCGGTGTCAGGGTAGTGTGGTGTAAGATGGGTATGTGCATGGTTGATGCTAGTTTTCTTTTTGTACTGTAGCAAGTTTGTATATGTAATTCGCGTGATGTTTATTTCCACAGTCATCGTTGAGTGAAAGTTGCCAATGAGGTATATAATATGTATTCCTTACGGAGGAGATGAGAGATACTGTTTTTGCTGTGTTTTGGATGATGATTGGTGGTGTAGGAGTGAGGTGTCTGAGGTCAATGGCATTCTTGCATTTAGTCATTTGGTAGATGGTAAGGGTATGGCCATTACGGTATCCAAGAAGCTGCTGTTGATCCAGTTTGAAAAACGGTGACTATAGACCTCGCAGTAGAAATTGATGAGAGAGCCCTAGCTTTCACTCCAGATATAGCTTCAGTACAGTATTGATGTAATTACCTAAACAAAATATTTAACTCGTGGTAGCTTGTGCAGGTGTGTCATCGCTGTGTGCGTATTTGTGCCCAATTTTTAATTAATTGCTGTCCGCTCAGAATGACTTTTCTGGATGAAGAGATACATATGCTGGCCTAGACCTTGTAGAAAGTTCCGTTGGACTGGGATGCCGTTCTGAGCTGAGATGGTAGGCAAGTCTAACACTTTGAAACAAACATTTTCCAGCATCTATTTCAGTACCATGCATTGGAGGGCTGGTGTTGACATTGGCATAGTGAGTTTACTTCCAATAAAAGAAACTAGTGTACTTAAAGTTCCTGCCTGTTGTAGCGAAACAAACATGTCTCAAGTGTCCAAACAGATCATGTTTATAAACAACATATAGGTACCTAATTTGTCAGTAATGTTTGCATTCATTTCTGCCTTTTGACCTAAAGCAAATACATAAATGTAATATTTATGACACCTATAGGATATTTCATGTTGGTTTATATTTTTTCTGTTTATTTCTACTAGTACCACTAGAAAGTTTACATTAAGAACAATTCTAAGCTGCTTAATATTACAGAAAGAATGCATATATTAGTACACTTGGAGTCAACAAAGGCATCTTCTAATAGACTTGTTATGTGACAGTGACATGTTTTCATGAATTTTATTGCTATCGTGTTATACAGGAAGAATGGCAGTATTTCTTCGTGCACCCCCAAGTATCTGATGTCACTGTAATGATAGAAAGCATATTTTTTTTCACTAGTGATACAGTTCAGTGTATTTAAAATATAAAAGTCAATTAAAACCACCCAATATCTAGCGAGACATTTTGAAAAAATACTGCTTATAAACCAAAATACATTTAATAGATATGTAATACACATGTATAAGAATGAAAATTACAAAAATAAAATTTTATTCAGATGTTTTTCATGCATCTCACATATATTAAAGAAATGTTTTGTAACATATGTTAAAGAAATACTTTGTAACAGGATGACATCCCAATGTACTTTCAAATCTCCTTTATTTCATATAATGTTATGTCATGAAGAAAAGAAGTGAATTCTGGGGGAAAGGTTTTTGCTTGACTGATTTTTGTTTTGTTTTATCATACAAGATTGGCCAGTATATTTAAAAATGTGTGCCAGTTGCTAAAAAGATTTTATGTTTCAATGTTAGGTGCTCCAGTTTTCTAAAATGAAAAAAAACCCCAAACCATACTGGTCACTGAGGAAATAAAATTTGGAGGTAAAGAACAACAGAAATGCATATTAGAATGGGCCTGACTTTTCTCCAGTGTGTTATACTAAATACAATACTAATTCAAAGAGGTCATAATATGCATGAAACGAAGTGGAACACCCGCTTCTCATCAAGAAAATTAGATTTCTTCTTCACCTGGCAAAACTGCTGAACAGCTGGTCAAAATATCCCTCTGCACCTTTTGACTTAATCTCTCATCTCTATCGCATTCTCAATAATTGTTGGCATATAATTGCTTGTTGAGTCTCTTAAACCTTGTTCTTTTTCTTGACAGATCAGTGATTTCTTCCTACCGCATCAGACCTAAAGATTTCTATGCATTGTTACTGATTCAGACTACATTCATTTTGTGAATGTGTATAAATTTTCTGGAACGGTGTTCATCTCCAGAAAATCTAAAATAAGTTAAATGAGTGAACCTCCCTTAAGAATAAACTGAAACTTTCTTTTTCAGCAATAACTCAGCCGGTGACAGTTTCTTGTAAGAGCTCCTTCCATAACATTTACCCAGCAGAAAGCGAAAATACTCTTTGTGTGTAGATATTCACCTCCTTTTATGGTTGTTGAAATTTTTTTTTGGGGGGGGGAGGCAGTTCTGTACATTGTCCGAAACTGTTTGATTATCTCATCCCCGTTATATTAGTCTCTTCCATTATTTTCTTGATTTGAAGGTATTGTCAGAAAGGAAATTTATTTTTCTTCAGTCATTTCAAAATGCACACATCTAATTTCATGTCTTTTGGTAACATATCTTACAGAGACGTTGGAAAGCAAAATAACCCCTTCTCCCTAAAAACTTTGCAGTCTTTATTCTGGTTTAGTGTTTCTCTTTATTTCTGTTCTCTAGTATCATGTTACACCCTTATCCTTCATGAAGTTTCACTAACTAAAAGTTACTGTATGTTCAGAAGTTCAAATAAGGAAGTTGTTTATAGAGAAAGGTGGCTTGCTTTTCTGATTTTGTAGTAGTGAGAAGTAGAGTAAGAAGCACCATGCAGACACTAAAAGAATATTAATTCTGGTCATAGCCTAGCAATATTTATTCTTTCTTAGGTCCAAAGTTTGTTTGCTGGACTCATGCTTTGGTAGTGTAATACCATGAAAATTAACATGCCGACACTTTTGGGACTGTTTTCAATAAATGGTAATATATGCATGACCAGTAATTGTGGTCATGCAAGAAAATTAAGAGCATTAGAGGTGAGGTCAATAAAAACAGCTGTATCCGTTGCCATGCAGGCGGGTAGGCCAGATTCAGGAAAGCTGCCGTGCTAGGTATGCATTTGCTCAATATCTACCCATGAGACAAAAGGCAGATCAGGAGGCATTTTCTAATGCCTTTGTTTGCTGGACTTGCTAGCTTTTGTATATTTTAAAAGAATTACAAATATTTAAAAATTATTAGCAAAACTATGTAGAATTCACAATAGTTTTAGCTAAAATAGGGAGGAATGAGACAATAAAAAGCAATCGCGGAATTAGTAAATTATTCATACCAATATGTTTCACGTAAAAATAAATGTACATTTTTGAAACTAAGAACTAAGTAATACCAAACTGAAGCATTTCATCTTGAGTCAAACAAAATATGCATTGGAATCTACCTTTGGCTCACACCTGATTGGTAATAAAAATTAATTTAATTCTCCCAGCAGATTCACTAGTTACAAAGCAGCTTGGAAAGTATGTGAATATAGTGACTGTAAATCAAAATACTTTGTATATTGAACAGCTGTATTTCTTAAAAAAATCTGGTAGTATATATTGTCAGATGGGGGTGACTGGGAAACACACAATGAGCACGTCTGTAAACAAAGAGAAGTGATAACGTTGACTGAATTCTCTTGTTGATTATACTAAAGTAGCTCTGCTAAAATAATAGGTTTTTCCACATTTACACTAGTTAAGCTAAGAGCAAAATTTGACCTTGGTTCTGAAGGGGGAATACAGCTCAATAAAAATAATGAATTTTCCCACTATGTAAGCAAAATAAATGGTTACTTCTGTCTGATACGACGTATTTATTGCTTGTAGTTCTGTCAGCACTATTACAGAAACGTTAAGCCCTGTTAACCGAAATATTTTCTTTTTCTTTTCCATACAGATGATGACACGTTTTCCAATGTGTTTTGTGAAAACTCTAAGAAGCTTATCAATGTACATTTATTTGCCCTGGCTGCTAAGTATTATTCTTTGTCTAACCTTGGAGTCTGTACCCCATTAGAAGATATACTTGTAGCACTGAGAGGAGACAATCAAGGAACAGCAGGTATATTTACATTTGTATTTAAATTTTTATTTTTCACTATAGGACCTGCAGAGTTTTGGTTTTGGAGGGGTGGTTTGGTGGTTTTTTTTTTCCTACATGCTTCTCACTTCAATTTTCATTTATTGCTAGATAGTTTCTTCATTGGCTTCGTTTAGAAAATGGATTCTCTTGCTAAAATTTGAGCAGAGGGGTCACAGCATTCAGCACCTATAGACCCTACCCTTCCTGAGATTCAGTTTTAAAGGGGATGAGATAGGCAAACAGGCACATCTTTATTTGAGATGTCTTGTTAATTGTCTTTGTTTTTCTTCTCTTTTTGAATCATGGTTGCTATTCTTGCTTTTTTTTACAAGTCTCACCCTAAAATCTGGCAAGTGGGTTTTTTTGTTACAGCTTTTGTTTAATATTAAATATGTGCTTTGGCGTTTAGCTGAATATGGCCCAATAAGTGTCTGATGTCTCAAAAAAAAAAGACAATTTTATTCATTCTGTATGTTTTGGACCAATACCAAATATGTGTCATAAAACTAGAGTAATTTCATTTTCTGTAGTTAAAGAAATTGGATTAAAACACTCTCAAGTTGGCATCAAGTTGGACACTGGAAGTCTTGCCCCTGATTATATTTTTTGTATCAGATGATAAACTGGCATTTATACTTACTTTGACTGCTGTCATTTTCACTAAAAATGTGCTTTTCATTGATTCCTCAGTCATTATAGATTTGTCACTGTCTTTCAGATTTCTCATTAGTTTTTCAGAGACAGACTGAGCAGCTCTCTGCCTTTGCTTTCTAGTGTGTTTTATCTCTATAATACGTTAAAACTCTGATGTTTCTTATCCTAAGTGATAACACCATTATATATATTGGGCATCTCTCCCATTTTCTACAGTTATCTTCTCTTTCCAATTTTGCCATTTTCCATGGTTGACTCTCCAGTTTTCCATTTCTTCAGAATTGCTAAAATGCCATAGCTAAGATAGTCTTAATGGTTTGTTGTGCATTGGTCTTACTGTAAGTTTATTTTCTGGCTTCTTTCCTTCTGCTGTTAGTTCGTCTGAAGCCCTTTTTTCTTGTTTGACAACTGTACGCTGCTTTTCTTTCGCTTGCTTTTTAGCTCTTTTCCTTTTCATTATGCTCTCATTCCCTGCTTAATTTTCTGTAATTCTGTAGTTCTACCTGGTTATACTTTTATTTGAGTTCATATCTGGATTAGCTTTCTTAGACAAAAATGCAAGGATTCTTTCATCTTTTTGTCATGCAGAATGGAGCATCAAGGATAAGACAATTGCTGAGTATTTTATTCTGTCTTGCAGGAGTGCTGCTCGGTTGGGTAACTGGGGCCTGGGTTTGTGATGCAGTAATTCTAAATTGCACTTCCTAGAAAAAGTAAAACTTGTTCCAAATATATGCAATGGTATTATAATTCAAAACCTTTGTGTTGAATTGGCAGTAAGTATCAGTTAAATTAACTTAATTCAAGTTCCTGGTAATCATTTGGCAGAAGCAAAATACCAAATTATGGATTCATAATGTGCGAGTTGCCAAATGAAAGTTGTGATCTTTTAACTTTAAGCTATTTTAGATATTTTGGACTTAATTCTGTATTTCAGAAAATATATTTGTTTCCTGACATACTAAAGCTTGCAAGTCAAGAGAAGTGTAAGTCTGAGAAAACTGGCAACTTTATGATAGCCTTGCTCATATTGTGAAAAGTGTGCATCAGAATAATTCCATTTATGTTTCAGATGTTTTTAATAACATTTCCTTGTTCTAAGACAAACATGCTTATGAGCCCGTTCCCACAGTTTGCATACTTGCATAGTTTTCTAACTTCTTCACCATCTTAATGTAGACATACTGCTATCCTTCCTTGGAATAATTGGTAAGCACAAACATTTTAAGCGTATTGTGGACACAGCTACTCAGAATGGAGTTCTGAGTCTAAAGGGCTTTCTCCATTGCTTCCTAACGAAGGTCACTGTGGTCCTTACTGCACCATCAGGTTGCTTGCACTGAGCACACGGGGTCTGGAAGAGCCTGGCCCAAGGGGAGGAAGCCAGCAGGGAGAATTTCGCTTGTTACGGGGTTCATATCTGATATAAGAGGCGAGGGTTGCTAGAGTATTGGATTAAGAGTACTGTCTACCTTTGCAATGTGTTTATGGCCAAGGTAGTAGTCATGCAGTGACTGTTAACGAATCCGTCTTTAAATTCTGTGTACTGGAATATCACTCAGCCTCAATGTTTTTTTAGTATATGGTTATCCCAGTCTCTCACTCTGGCTTATGGAATTAAATCATAGTAGTGTAGCTTCTGTATAGGTGGTGTCTTGTGTGGACTGTGAGTTTCTTTTTTTTATCTATCTGGTGTATCTGAATTTCCACAGGTAGCTGGTGTATAAAACCCCTGCACCCTGACATAGGAGATCTTAGGAAGATCTGCATTAGCCCTGTATAAAAGACAGTCTCTCCTCAATTTGTTCGGCTTCACAACTAAAGATGTAGCTGTAAATAGCATTATAGAGTTGAAATGGTTTTTCAAATGGAAAACAGCTACCTGTGCTAGAGGTTATTTCCCTAGCAATAAGCAACATTTCAGTACCAGCTAAAACTAGTAACATTAAACTTTCTGTTATTCTATTATATCCGGGGTACTATTGTGAAGCATTCGAACCCCACTTTCTTTTTTCATCACAAAAGGAGATGGATCTCTAAGTTTCTTATGGTCTTTGAAATTAGTATTTGTTCTGCTTGCATAAGTTGTGCACATAATAAGGAAATCTATATGTATAATTCTTTGTTTCAAGAAAGTAATTTTGTGATAGCAGAATGAATTTACACAGCTTGTTTAAAACTACTATGTATATTTTTTTCAAATTTGCAGTTGTGTTGGCAATGTAAAACAGTCCCCAAATGCAGTTTTTCTATTAGATTGTAATATGTCTGCTTGTTTTTCAAAATAATGTAAAAAAATCTATCAGAATTTTGCAGAAAATGCAGCAACAACAAAATTGATAAAAAATCTATAATTTTCTGCAAACAGTATTATTTTCCCTGAGCTGAAATATAAGCAGAGTGTTCATTCTGCAAAAGGTAGGAAAGGAAGTCTAAAAATGGTTAAGAAACTTCAGTAGCTAAGGTGATAAATACTTTATGTATGTAAGTATAAGCAAACTATGATTTTTCTACCTGGAACCTCAGCTTTTGTAACAACCCAACTTGTTTCTGGATTTCTGGATTTCTTCCATGTTTGAAATAGTTAATTTGTCTTAAGTGCTCTCTGAAATGGTACTTCACACAGCGTTACCCAATTCAGTCTTTTGAGTTCATACTATAGCAAAGAGTAAAAGGTGCAATACGTGGTGATAGTTCAAAGTGACAGTGCTGCTTTGGAGAACAGTCAAACAACTTTTGTTTCTGTCAAGAAGTTAAATGTCTGTTTCTTCCTGTTCCCATTTTGCTGCTTCTTCCGATGAGCCTATCCAGACACAAAAATGTTCAAATATAAACAAAAAAAGAGACTTTTTTTTTTTTAATTTTTTCCTTTCATTTGAAATGCTTACAAATTAAGAGGTTTTTAGGACACCGTGTAGATCTTCACAGTTTTAAAGTTAAGCAGAATCTTTAGTGAAAGATTACTTGTTTCTGCTATTTGTTTTGTTTAACAGTATTTTAGTCTATTTTTTCTTTTGTCAGTTCATAGAGTCTATATTAGATTTTAAGTATTGTCATAACAGTTTATTATGAAAAAACAGATGTTTAAGAAATAGAGAGATCCTGTGGGTTTTGGGAAAAATAGAGAAAACACTAGGTTTCTCATGAGCTCAGTTCAATTCCCCACTCTCTTTTAAAGAAGTAACACTCTTGGCTCTGTTCCCAGCATGATCTGATCAAGGAATGAACATAGTTTTTGCCTAATGATCAGTTTCTGGACGGATGAACACATACTGTGCAAAAAGCAGAGAATGGGAAAGTATATTAATCTGCCTAGTCATGTAGAAAAGTCTTGTTTTCTAGGAGCATGCTCATCAGTAACGGTCCAGTTTCTCCTACCATCACTCAGACGTACAAAAATTTCCATCAATTTAACTAGAGCCAAGTGTACTGTAGTGTTGGTCGCCTAAGAGAGATGTGTGGGTTTCTCCCAAGGGAGCAACTTCTGAGCTTTGCTTGGGGGATGTAGAGATTAGCAAGTGGGTGCTTGGTATTTTCCACAAGCAGTAACCCTGTGGTAGAAATTGACTCCATCTCATTAACACGTTCTCCAGCAACACTGTAATGAGTGATTTTCTACCATAAAGATGTAACAGTTCTGCAACCCATCCATAGGGTAAATGAAGAAAATAAAAGTGCATCTTCCTTTGAATTTCCCCAGCATCGCTCATAACTTTTATTTGAGATATCTCCCACTTGATAGTGAGCAAATCTGCAGAATTAACAAGCCATGCTGTGTGATTATTAATTGTCCCTGCCCTTATATTTCATATATGTAAAGGTAAATGTGATAAACAACACAAAAATACGTATTTTTTAGTGAACAGGAAGAAATAGTACAGTTTTATAGTAGTAGCTATTGTCTAATATTCAGTCAGGTATTAGATATGCTACATCTTAAAAAAACTACACTAACAGTACTCAGTTTTTACTAATTCATCTGTAATTCAGAAGATTAGTCTTGTAATAATTTAGTGATTTTTTAATTAAAAATTACTATCCTTAAAATATAAAAATACTGTAGCATATTTTTAGGCTGGTATTTTTTCTGACCACAAATCTTTATTATTATGGGCTGTGTTAATGTGTATTTATTGTCTTAATCTGATCCAGGTATCAAAACTGATGAGTTTATGAATAATAAGAAATCACATGAAGTGCAGGTGATGTCAGAGTTGGTAGACAACATAGCGAATTATTGTGGTATAAAGCAGGTAAGAAAGCATTTCTTACTGTATGTTACCGTGTACCTTCCAAATTATTCTCCTTATTGTGTTCGAATACATAATTTTGATACTCTATCAATGCTGTTCTTATTTTTCCTGTAAATAATTGTAGCTAAAGAAGAGCCATTAGGCTCAAGATGAAGGACAATTTTGTTTAAAAATGTATCATTCTAAAGGAGCTGCCTTTCACTGAGTCATAATCATTTTATGACTCATGACAAATTTTAAGAAATTATAATCATCCTCTATATGTTGAGCAACTGCAAATTGTACTGCTTTTTGCTATGCGTGGGTACTGCCTTGTTTATCAGTATTATATTGCTGGCAATTTACCATAAGCATCAGCAGGAGAGCAAAATTTCGTTCTTTTCCTTCTGTCAAGCACACAAGCATGCCACATAGAGACCAAAGCAGAAAATCTGAGAAAGTTTGAAAGCTCATCTTGTTCTGGCACAAGAGATTTAAATTGTTTCCTATTGTTTAATGTTGTTCACCTTTATTTAACATGGATTGAGATCTATCAATTAGGAATTTAGTTATGACCTTTTTAGTTTGAAGAGAGACCAGATTAAGCAGAGATTTATGTAGCAGAGTGTGCGTGAAGTACGTTTGGTAGAACACGTATGAGATCTGGACACCCAACACCATTATCACCCAGTGATTACTCTAAGAATTGGCCATTTCATACATCAGATGGCAAGTTCATCCTTGGATGGTGAAGAACTACAGGATTCCTTTCTCAAATTTGATTGTGACTTACCCCTTTTTTTTTAACATGTAATTATGATTGCACAGTGCAAGTCACTATTGCATTAAAACCTTGTAGATGTTTACATATGGATCTGTTGACAAAACACAAGCGTCACAACAATACTTGACTTTTCTGAGTACTGTATTTCACATTCCGCTAGACAAAAGTACACCAATACCATTTCCTCAGTTTACATACATGTAATTTTTCTGTAAGCTTTTTCAATATTAAACTTTCTGTTACATTCCACATCTTAGATCTTTGTTGCGGTAAGACTAAATTTTTAAGTATCTGGGTGAACTGAGTTGGTTTAATCATTTTAATCTCTGTAATGCTAATGTAGCTTTGTCCTCGCTTTAAACTGTAGATGACTAGTGGCTCTGGACACTCCATTTGATTTCTTTCTACATCTGAGCTGCAGTTGCTTTCTCTGCAAGGGGCTGTAAGTGTAAATGGAGACTAATTTCCTCCAGCCTAATGTTCATTCCCACAAAGATTTGTGGAGAACAAACTGTATTTGTTTAAAACCAAAGGTTAGTAAGGTATCTGCCCAGATTTTATGCTGAACATACTCTCTCTGAGCCTTTTTTTTCCCTAAGTAAATATGTCTGAGTATAGTTTAAAATGAATGTATCAGATGTGGGTAAGGGGGAAGAGACAGCTGCAGCTGGGCAGGCCAAGTCTGTATTAGTACGGTTTCTGGTATATCTTGTCCCCCATATTGTGCCTGGCCTCTGTGAAGGGAGAGTGCTAGTTGTCCTCCCTCATACCCGCACCAGGGGGGGTGCTAAAAATTAATGGCCAGTCGTGTGCCGGGGGTAGAGTACATGGCCGTGCTCTGTTCAGTTTAGCGGTAGAGATGTAACTGCAGCGTCCCGAGTTGGTGCTGCTGCCGCCACAGACCGAAGGGCAGGCCCCAAAACTTGGATTCGGCTTGGAGTTGCTGAAGCTGAACTTTGATTAGGAAGTTACTTGGCTCAGACTGAGTTTAATTTAGGTAATGTAAATGATGCGGTACTCTTGATAGGTTTGGGTCAGGCCTGTGGCATCCTTGGAAAGAGAGATCAAAACTCTGAATCCTGACCATCAGTTTGGTGAGGAACGACTGATGAAGGCAAAGTTTTAGGCAGTGTTCTCCTTACAACTGGGATTACCAAGTAGATAGAGAGCTGCAGTTAAGGCCAAATATTACTGGATGAGACGCAATCAGTTTGCGAGCATCTGTGATCCCTTACAGCAACGGAAGGCGATCTCTCTCCAGCAGCTCTTTCAGGAGCCAGCCGCGGTGACAAGCGTGGGTGCCCTCAGCAGCTGTAAAGTGGATGCGCTCTGTAAAGAATAGAAATACGGTAGCAGCAGATTTATGAAAGTAATTTCTTCTATCGTTAGCATGTCTTTTACCTTGCTTACCTTTTGCTTCAGGCAAGTATTAGTTGTTCAAGTGTTGAAGACTTTCACGTACTGAAAAAGCTGTAGGAGAGTGAAGTTTACTGATAATGCACTACTAAATGTTCTCTGCGTTTGCTGGAAGGTGGTGTTTCATATAGCATTTTTATTTAGATTTTAAATAGTTCCTGTGAGATTCAGGAATGAAAGGAAAGGAAAACCCATATTCAGAGAGTAAAAAAGTAGAGCCACCTTAATGACCTAACCTAAGTCCCGATGTAGCTGGTTACTAATAAAATCTCAAACCAATCATTATTAAGTATCTGTCAATATGCTGCAATCTCATGCAGTGATTATGCACTTTCATCAGATGGCTCAGAGTATCTTTAGGCAAAGGATTATTTTCTGTTTATTTTTTTAAAAAATTGTAACATTTAATGAAAAATATTATTGCAGTATATCACTGAATATGAAATGCTGACTGCTCTATATTAACTTTTTTCCATTTTAGTCGTACATTGTAACAAAATTTATTTGTGCAAAGTTACAAATCCCTAATATATGAAAAGAGCTTTGCAGTTACATTTGAAAAAAAAGAAAAGCCTCCTTCTCAGCTATTAAAAAAGCGACTCCTTTTGTTTTGGTTACCTTTCAACTTAAAAAAAATACAGGAATTGTAAAGTTTTAGGAGAGTTTTTTCCTTATTGATTTTTTTCTATCCATCTCACAAAACAAAATATATGCGGCATTTAATTAAAAAATCTAGAGCTATGAAAACACAACACGTGTTTTACAACAGCACGTGTCCTCAGGGTGTTTCTTTCAGATATTATAGATCACTGGCAGCTTGAAAAATGCCCTCCATTTCACCTCCATATCCATGATGTATAATGGGTGGTAGAGGATATTACTCTCTTGTGGTATTTTATAATGTAGTTTAATAAATAGTAAAATGAAAATAAAAGCAAACATTTTATTAACTACTGTAATCACTTGTAGGTTAATGATTTGAATTAAAACATTAAAGCAAACTAAAGGGTTTTTTTTAGTTGTTTACTGCCCCTTTTAAAAATTGTTCCTGTTGTCCAAGAGGAACTTTATTTTATAAAGAAGTTCTTAATTAAACTCTGCAAAGAAGCCAGTGATTATTCTTTGTTTAAATGCACATTTGTTTTCTTTAATGTATTTGTGAAAGTTTTCCTTGGAAATTGCAGCATGTGCAACAAGAGTTGCAATGTGTAATGTAAGTATGATATAATTCTGCATTCAGCATCCATTAAATTTGTGATTTGGTGCTGGGAAATGTTGGAATCCTTCTGGAAACGAAGTTCTTGATTGCACTGTGCCAGAAATTGTGTTTAAACATAGTACCCAACTCACTATGGACAAGACCTTTGGAGTTCATTATATCATGGAAATTCATTTTAAAAGTTCATGCTTGGCAGATACACTATGGATTGCTGATTACCTTTCCTTATGTAATCAAGGGAAGGTAAAACAGGGATTAATTTAATGCCGTCTATTTGTTTAGCACAAGATCATTGCCTGCTTATTTTTAGTCAAATTTTCCTTTCGTTTTAAAACTATTCTCCCAGTGGTAATTTAACAATATATTACTGTTTTCTTTTTACTTGGAAACAACTAAAAAAAACTTATCCAAACAGCAGTTTGTCTTTACAGCCACTAGAGGTCACACGTAGGAGTTAGGAATAATTCACTAGCTGACTCTTGTGTCCAAATGCTGCCTTTCACAGAAATAATTAAAAAGCTTGTAGAAGTGAAGGTGTGCATATTCTGCATAATAGTAATATCCATTACATAAAATAGTGGGTAAAGTATTCCTTGAACATTTTTCTTTCCTTAACTTTTAAATAATCTAGGAGAATATTGGTGATAAATCTGACAAATAAATGACATTTTCAAAAAGTATGCTTAGATCATATCAACTCTATTTCACCAAATCCACTCCTGTACTGATTTCATTCAAGAAATTCGAGGATTGTAGCGTACCTAGATGGCAAATATGTAGCAATATCACATGACGAGTGCAGATGAGAAAGCCATGTGCAGCCTGGGTAAACAATTTTTACCTAATTGTGTTTTCTCCACTGTTTTACCTAGTCTTTAGTGATATTGGTTCAAATTTTTCTTTCTAATCCCATGGCTGTACAAATCTTTAACTTTCTTAGAATAAGGAATAAATCTTTCTTTTTCATTTCAGTAAGAGTATTGCTGTACTGAGTATTCTTACCTGGTAAAAAACTATGCAGTTGAGTTCAAGATGGATCTGTGTAGTGTATGCTGCTATTTGAACTCTCAGATATCAGTGTAAGCTTTCTTACGAACGTGTGACAGACCAAGAACAAGACATAGATGTTCTTGAATCAAACACTTTCAGGAACATCTACAATGAAGTCATTATATCTAGTCAATATAATTTTTGGTAGATACCTGAACAGTACTGAACATTATCATTTTCTTTCCTTAGAAAAATGTCACTCTGCCTATTCTTGTAAGATATTTTGTTATATATTTATTACAAATTAAAACACACATGATATAAAGCTGTGATTATGTACTTAAAGGTCTCAGGTTACCCTTATTTCTGCTACGACTCTGTATAGTGTTTTCCTTCCTGTGTTACATCAGTCACTCAACTAGCACATGCTATCAACTATGAGACGAACTAAACTGTCAGCTAGTTATCCCTTCTATTCATTCCTCCCTCCAGAACAGCCGTGGAAAGTACATGTGACATATGAGCCCCTTTGTTTTATTACAAAAGCATCCTCATGTTAATCAGAGTTATATGGATCATTTTCACAGAGTGGGGAAGTGGTATAAATAAGCATTCTGACATAAAAGGGGGTATAAATATCACCTGCTTTAGGTCACATCTGAAGTGATTAAGCTAGGCACTGAACCTGAAGATGCTTATTTCTCTACACCTAGTGGTAGTAGACTCCTCATTATGGGAGCTAGGTGTCTGAAGCTAAATACTGTGAACACTTTCTTTGCTAACTATATATCCTGACCCAGTTTAGCAAGGGCAGGTGGTGGTGGTTTATGGTTATTTTCTTTAGCAGAAGGAAGTTCTGTGTCAAAAAATATACTGAAAGTCTTTCCCAGAAGAGTCAGGACATGTGCATTGCATAAGCATTGCCGTGTCTGTTTTCTGAAGCAAATCAGTTAAGACTTAATTCTCTGTTTTAAACTCAGAAGATGGACCAACAAAGCAAAAGAACTAAGTGTGTTAGGAGGGATGATGCTACTGATAAAGTAGCTATTAAATACATGCTTAAATTTTTAGGGAATTATTTTGCATTTGATTGAAGTGTGTCTTGTTGCTCATTAATACAGCAAATTTTATTTTCTTTTTTCCCCATTGTTTAGGTGATTGATATAGGTTCTGGAAAAGGCTACCTGAGTTCATTTTTGTCCATGCAATATAACTTAAAAGTTTATGGAATTGACTCCTCAAACACCAACACTAATGGTGCTCATGAAAGGAACAGAAAATTGAAGAAACACTGGAGAGCATATCAGAGTCAAGGAAGAGCAAACCTCAAAAGCCAGAGGTTGGAAAAGGCAAATGACAGGCCAGTGGAAAGTGAAATTAAATGTAAAGCAATCAATGAAAAGCCCTTAAATAATGACAGCAGTCTGCAAAGTCAGGACCAAGTGACTATCCAAGATTTAGTTCCTTCTTGTGGTTTCACAGAAATAGCTACGTCTGAAACCAGCAGACAAACTGACGTTGATTTGGCGTCTCAGACACAATCTGATGAGAGCAAACTTTCTGAAGAAGTTCTTGCTATTCTAAACATTCTGCCTGCTGATGCTGTAGAAGTTTTTTCTTCATCTCAGTGTAACTGTGGGGAACTCTGTGAAGAGGAAAAGGCGCAAAGAAAAATGGCATCTCTCAAGGCTAAAGCGAGCAAGTCGAGTGAATCAAACCTGTATTTTCCATTGACCTCTTGCATCACTGCAGAAACAGAACTCAGTGACATCATAACAGATCTGGAGGTTATTTTACTGATACTGGAAGTAGATTGTCCATTGTCTTTATATTGCCATTTTCATATGTGCATAATGTTTGCTGAGTGTACGTAGAGTGCTGTCAGTGGTGTAAATGAATATTCTGGCCCAATAATGTTTTTCAGCCAGTTAGCTGAAGTACGTCTAGCAGATACAGATTGTTTTTCTATTTTAATATTTGTGTTGGGCTTATTTTGAATATGTAAAGCAGCCTTTAGAATTTATGGGGTGGATAATAATCAGCTGTCAAAAGTTAACAGCATACATATTAGCACATTCAGGTATTTTACAATTGTAGATATAGATAACATCTAATTATTATGGAAAGAGTTATATTTATCAGGTAGATGGATATATTAAGCACTGGAATTTCAATTTTCCTGAAATTTCTTATTTTTTAAGTTTTATATTTTGGTAATTTCAGTTAAACTTTGAAGGCATAGGAGAATTTATTGTGTATAGTACTCAACATAAAGAATTTGTAAAGACCCCTGTTTGCAAATAATGTTTTTATATTTTGACTTTTCAGAGTTACTTTAAGTTCATTTAGTAATTTACTAGCTGGCAGGGATTGTGTCTACACAAACAAGCCCAAGCTCAGCTGCCCAAAGACAGTGACACAGGTCTAGAAGCTCTATGGCTGTTTAGTTCCTATGCCTGAGCTGACGTACATTCAATCTTTTATGGAAAGATAAAAGCTTGTCTGTGTTCAATAGTAACTGACCTAATACATTCAGGGGTGTAATTAATCTCTGATTCAAGACCATAGTTTTGTGCTGATGGCCCTATAATAAATCCTACTGAGTATCTGAGAACATGTGGAGCAAGCTCATGTCTGTCTGCAAAAGACACTCTGAGCAGCAGGGTTTGTTGATGAAGCATATGCCTTTACATTTGCACTGTTGGATTTTGTATCCCTTTAGCATGTAATATGTGTAATGTAAAAGGTAGAAGAAATCCTATATCACTGCCTTTCTTTATAAAAAAAAAATTACTGTCAGAAAAGGTAAAAGCTTCATTGTGTTAAAAAATAGTAATAACCAAACTGCACATTATGTGTGATGAATGTGTGTAATTAAAAAGCTTTAAAATGTGCAATCATTTACATGTTTTAAAGGTATTTTGAGAATTTTTAGAAATAAAATATTTTTTAGAAATAGTTTTACAAATGTTTACAATTTTTTATTGTAACCATAATTTGGTTTTTTTTCTCAAATTTTCCTAAGCTGGGAACAAATGGGGAATGGGTAAAATTAGCATTTACTGATTTATACCATAAGTTCTGAAATTAATCTGCTGATGACATGGGTATAAGAATGCATGTTTGTATATATCCCAGGACTAATATTGAGATATCAAATTTTGCTATACTTAAGCCAACGATCCAGAAAGTACTTTCAGTTATATCCAGGCAACCTCACTGAAGTCAGTGATGGTCCAAAAGGATACCTGACACAGACAGACTGTGCTCGTGGTGTTCAGGAGTTTTGAGCATTGTAATAGATTCCTCTATCTTGCATGTGGTAGGCATCCTCCACTAGCTTTCTCCTGAAAGAATCTCTCTAACTTTCCTGTCCTGGGGTTCTGTCCTGCCCTCGCAAGTGCACATCTTCCCTTAGCTTTAGTCTTGTTCCACTGTTTCTGTAATTGGAAGTGGAAAAAAGCTTTGTGGAATGGTGAGCTGAAGCTGACTGATAGGAAAAAAGTCTTTAAAAACTAAGCTGGACTGAAAGCGAATTTTTGCCACCTAAATATTTTGGATCCTAAGACAAGGAGAGGGCAAGCACAGAGAAGCAAGCATAAAATGGAAGGTGAGAAGAGGGACAGGAAGAATTAAAAAACCAGAGGAAAGGGGAGGTTTTACTGTTTCGCACATACATATACTATGTAATACTGATGGGTGAGAAAATCAGATACAGAGCAGCAAAAATAGATGTGCATATAAAGTCAGAATGATTATAGAAAGGTATCCCAGTTGAATATCTCTGGACTAATTTTTTGTTGATAACCTTGTTAATAAATAAGGCTGAAATTCAAAGCAACACCATGTTTACCGTGTAGATTCCAACTAATAATGCTGGCAGAGAAATACCTTGTTACGAATGGTGAGAAGAGGGATAATTTGGATGGAGAAATAGAGGCAAAAGGGAAATAGAGGAAAAAGGAAAGCAGGAAATAGAATGGACAGAAGAGCAGAGCGTCTGAAGCTGAAGTTCTTACTTTGCTATGGAAGAAAATGCCCATTTGTTGTTGAATAGTAGTAGGCACACTGCAAAGCTGTGGCAGTACTACAGTTTTGGAAATAACAAAGCCTGCTCTTCACATTACATCTATATTCAGGAAGTGGTTTTGATTTCAGCAACTTAACGTAGCAGAAATGCCATAGATAGGTCCAGCCAAATTTACAGCAGTAAATCTGAAGTAAGAAAAGGAAGTAGCAGTGGTAGTATAACAATAACAGGAAACCTAGGAAGGACAAGAGAAAATGGCCCATGTCCAGTCACCACGCAGATGTTCCCTTCCATGCAGGTAAAGCAGCTGCTATTCATAGTCTTGAACTTCTGCTTCCTCATGGCCGGTGAAGGTAGCATGCAGAGATGCGTAGTTCCTTACCTGAACAAAGCGATGAGCAGTCTGTCTTTCCACGGAGGCAACGCACCATGTCTTCTTAGCATGGGAGAGCTTTTATTACGCATTGAAAAATTCTAGAACAGAACAGCAGAAGTCCTCATGGAGTTGTATATTTAAACCTTACAGCTCGATAACATTTGCAGCATGTTTGGGTTTTGGAGTTTGTTGTTGTTATTCGTGCTCTTTCAGTTGAAGAGGGAGATGCTTTATTGCTGCTTTTTTTTCTTTTTCTTCTTAGGACTGTGTGATGGTGGGTCTACATACATGTGGCGATCTTGCTGCAAATACACTACGAATTTTTACTGCCAAGCCTGAAATCAAAGCAGTTTGCAGTGTAGGCTGCTGCTACCATCTGTTGTCAGAACAGTTTGAAAACCAAGAAGGTAATTCTTCTAAGCTTAACTTGTGGCTGCCAGTTTGCATGTTGAGAGTATTATACCTTTTAATTAATAACCTCCTTTTGTTTGTTCCTTTCCAGTGGCTTATTTAGTACTGGTTTTAATTATATTATGTGGGTCATTCACTCCCAGATGCCCTCTAGCTTTTCTGTTATGCCAATATTTCTAATATTCTTACTGAAATTAGGGACATTAATGCAGAATGTTTTTATATGGCTATGAATACAGCTGGTTTTATTCCATTACTTCACTTGTAAAATGTGGAGGCTTTTTTAGTCCAATATGTTTTCATCCTTTTGAAATATTTTGTACCAGATTTTGCCCTTGGCTGTCTGCATGCAACATCCATTTATGTTGAGTTGTACATGTACAACTATGAGCAGAATTAAGTCCTTGTAATGTAAGTTATTAGTCCAAAAAACACTCATCTGAGTGCTGTGCTCTGGGGCATTGCCAGTTTAGAACATTATGGGACAGTACCTATATAACAGTTTTTCTTGGGAAGACAACCTGAAAATTATTTGGGGATTCACACTATAGGCAAATTTTCCTTCAAATGTGGGGTTTTTTCATTTTTGATAGAAAGTTGGTATCTTTACTTGAAAGGTAAATTCTGCATAATGAAAAATATTAAGTAGCTGGCTTTCCTGAGGCAAGTGGTATGTAGCTGAGCTGTCTAAATGACCATCTGCTGAAGTCCTAGAACCTGATCATCATATCAACCAAATCTGAGAGGGGGTGGATTGGCAAAGTTTATTTCAGGTCTTTCAGGGAACTTCAGGGACAGAAAGGCAGGTGGAACCCAGCTGCTGCTCTACCAGTTGGCTGCTCAGGCAGCTAAGGCACAGCTCCAGACTGACCATGACACGTGCTAGCTCTTGCTTGCTTTAATGATCTTTTAATGTTGTTTTTATCTTGCTCTGCAACAATTTTAAGAGTTTTTGCAGTGTATTAGTTTCAGTTATTTCACAATACTTCAGATCACCCCAAAGAAAGTAGAATCGAAATTTCTAAGTTACAGAAATGTGATTAGTAAAAAACATACAATTCCTTTTACATCAGAGTTTTAAAAAACGATAAACTTTTCAGGCACTTGTTATTAAGTTTGTGTGTCTGAAACATTTGGTTGTTTCTTATTATTACAAAGAGGACACAACTTCCTCTTCTAGCTGTAGGATTACTTCTTCCAGACCAGTGCATAAGGCTTTACTAAATTATTGTTACTCAGACACCACCGAAGGACCAGGTGTGATAACCTATTCTAAGTTCAAACAAGCAGATGTACATACACGGTGGTAAGAGATACTGCAGTTTCATAGCAGTATGGAAATGAAGCCAAATTGCATGTTGGAGTTTCTAGCTGTTTGATTTTTCTCAGCTTGAAGGGTAAAAATTATTCTCAAAGAATAAGCTTTAGATAGAATAAAAGGAAATTACAGTACTCTTTTTTTGGGAAAGAACACATAAGTAGTTCCAGTGATGCTCAAAAAAATGGATTTTTTTTTTGCTATTACTATGAGGGTACGTGTTCTAAAATCTGTAATGCTGTTGTATTCCCCTGGAAAAGTCATCTACTATATGGCTTGTTCGTAAATGCGCAGTGGAGGGGTAAGAGCGCAAGGACCAACAATATCTAAGAGCTAAAATTTCTTCAAAGGGAAAATGGGAAAGAATTAGCACTATGGCTTGTGTCTACACTTCCTATGCATGGATTTCAAACTGACAAAGGATTCTAGAGGATGCTAGATGACTCTAACTAATCAGATGGTATGGATCCAACAATTCACTTGTACAGGAAGTAAACTAATTCCTCTTGCAGCTGTCTGAGGCAAGTGAATTTTGGTTACTGCTTCCAAAATAATAGAATCGTAATGAAATAATTTAACTTGGAAGTGGCCTCTGGAGGTCATCTGGTCCAGATCACGGTGCAAGGCAGGGCCAACTTAGATCAGGTTGTCCAGTCATGTTTTGAATATCTCCAAGGGCAGTGATTCAGCAGCCCATTCCAATGTTTGCTCTCACCACGAAGTTTTTCTCCTCGTATCTATTCAGAATTTGCAGCTCTCGTGCATTATCTATTGTCTTTTCACTGTGCACCTCCAAGAAGAGTCCGGCTTAATCTTTTCTGTTCCCTTTCCTTTAGGTAGTCGAAGACAGCAGTTAGATCCCTCCTTGACCTTCTCTGCAGCCCTGTAGTCCTCTTGCCACCACTGAACTCATTCCAGTAAGTCAGTGTGGTGGGCTGGAGAGCCCAAAGAAGCACTCTAGATACTCTCACTCTCCCAAGTGCTAAAAAGGGGAAATAATCACATCCCTTAACCTGCAGGCTTCACTGTTAAGCTTCAGACTCCTATCCACTTCAGAGTCCATCTGTCTGAGTCATATCTTTCCAATTTATCTATAAAGATACTAAGGAAACCTTGCTGAAAACCTCGCTAAAGTCAAGGTAAACGACGACTATGCTCTCCCCTAATTCATGGAGCCAGTCACTGCATCACAGAAGGCAATAAAGTTTGTCAGTCTCTGGTAACTTCCTGCCAGCTATTCTCAATCTCCTTCTTGTTCTTCATGGGCCTGGGCATGGTTTTCAGGAAAATTTGGCTCCGTAAGCTTATTGGAAACTGAGGTTAGACTGAAGATGGGTGTGATGTTTGCCTTTTTCCTGTCATCAGGAACTTCCCTTGATGGATGTGGCCTTTCAAAGATGGTAGAGGGTGTCCTTCGTGTGACACCAAGCAGTTGCCTCAGCTTCCTGAAATGCATCCCGTCTGGTCACATGCTCTTGTGTATTTCCAGTTTGCTTGTGTGGTCCCTGAGCCAATATAATCTCTACTGTAGGTAGTCCTTCACTTGCCCAGGCTCTGACACTAAGCTTAGGGAAGCTACTGGCTAATTTAGGCATCAACGAGAGATTGCAGAGACCTGTAGAAGCCTTTCGTGGAGAGACTAGTTTGAATATTAGGATTGAGTATTAGACGTAGAGCTAGATCTCTGCGGTGGTGGATAGAAGATTTTCCTAAGAGAGAGAAATTGGGTAGAATTTGCTGCAACACAGGAAATCACTTGCTTGTTTGAAATCAGTCCAGTAAGCAAGGTCTTGCCTGCGAGGACACAGTGGGAAGTTCTGTTATAAAGCATTCTATACTAATTTTATCTTAACTCAGTAGCTTTGAGGCTTCTCTGTTTTAATGTCATTGCTCTATTTTATAGTTATATTAATTTTTTGCCCAGTTTAAAAGTTTTTTTATCTTCTCGAGGACAACATTGAGGCAAGTCCGCCTCAAAGCTCCTTCCCCCAAAGTAGCATGTTTTCCATCTTTGCTGCTTCTTTTTCTTTAATGTAAATGCAGATGGTTGTTCTCATAAGCCTACCTGAAGCAGATGTGCCAGCCCACAAAAAAGCAGCAGTGCACTGGCGGTTACCACAACTTGAGATGGCTAGGCTGTATGTTGTTTGGCAGTTAAATTTTATTAATACCAAGGTCAGTCTTGTTTGAGGCCAGTAAAAAATTGCTTTTTCACTTCATATTAATTGGAATTAATTGATATTCATGGGAAGAAATTTTACCTGTTTTGATGCCTAACGTAGTGTTTATAAGTCTGAGGTGGTGAGTTGACAAAATATCAACAAAATGTTACTATGCTATTTTTGGCGGGCTATTGAATCACCTTGGTTATCGCAAGTTTGGGTTTTTTGTCTCTGAGGAGCTGACTATGAGGAATAATGCCTTACATTTCTCGTATATTCTAAAAATAGTAAAGATATTGCAAGATTGCCTGATTCAGTTTGCTATCGGACCCGCTGTGAATACTTTGGGAGCATTTCTGGTGAAAGTAGGTGCCAGTAGTCACAGTCTTGAATACTGCAATCAGTATACAGTGTCCTTCTATGTGACTATAAATAAGCTAAATTCATCTGGAAATTTTTGTAATGGGACTACATTTCCAATTATGCTGGGAATAATTTTGAACTCTTAAGATCATGAAAGCCTTTGTTTTGATTTATTAGTAACTACAACAACCAAGAAGTGCTGTGTAATGTCAAATTTCAATTCAATTTAAAAAAGTTGAAGCCAGTGACTTTTAACACTTGTCTTTAAATTTCACTGCTGTTATAAGGAGTACCAAATACTAAATTTCAGTTAATAAGGAATATTATGACAGCTCTTGGAAAATTCTAAGTAGTTTTACTTTGGCTTTCTCTAAGGAGAATTGGCTATTTATACAGAGATTCTTCTATGGATAAAATGCACTTAACCATTAGTGTAATTGATTCCTTTGGGGTTTTTCTTCACTGTTACTGCATCGGATAGTCAATTACAGCAGAGTAGTAAGGATTTTACTATTTATTAGAGACTTTTTACATAAGCCTATTTACATAGTGAGCCATTATGGCAGTTTTTCTGGAAAAAATCAGTTTGCTAATGATTTTTAGGTTAAAACAAACCCTGTGCCTCTGTTCAGAAGCTATTCTTAGGATTTTTGGGAGCTGTTTTATCTTACATTCAGCTAATACATTTCTGGGGCAATGTACCAGCTGGACTATGATTATCCTTTAACAGACAGTAACTGCAAATTTAAGATATTTTCAAAAAGGCTTGACTTTCCTTAAAAAGGAATTGATGTGTTTCTGTATTCTAATTCTCTTCTTTCCATCCTTCGTACCACCAAACACATCAGTACCAGTCTAGAAACCAGTGAAATTTTTCAATATGATATCTTCTGTTTTCCGGAAAAAACAGATGAACATGAGTCTTGCTAGGAGCTACTTATTTATAAATATTTCATAATTTGAAATAAGGCATAGGTGTAGTTGTATAGGTAGTTTCAATGATAGCTGTCTGATAGAAACCCTTTTTGAGATAAGCTTGAGTACTGCAAATCATGAACTCCAGTTTTTGTAAGGATTTCCAATGTCAGGTCACTGCTCTAGGAAGTAGAAGATAGGTGCTGGGCAGAGGAGTTCTAGAGCCATCCTGGAAGCT